AGTGAGGAGCGTAAAAAGAAAACTCATTATTAATGTGTAATCTTTGCTAAGTCAACCTGCAGCGATATATAGCAAATATTTAAATAGCACCTCAAACAAAGATTATGATAATGCTTAGGTCATTCACCATGGAACATATCCATAGCATGTTGTTTGCACATTGTGCGAAGCAAAAACATAATTGGATATCTAAAGTTAAATTCATTTTCATGGTGCAGAAAAGTACATTATTTCAGCATGTTTGTGAGTTATTGGCAGCATTATACAAATAATTAGAATAGTTTGCTCTGGGATATACTTAATAAAGACATCTTTTTGTTTTCACCATGCATCAAACAAGCTGACATTTCAATATAAGTGCAAAATTGCTTCTTAAAGGTTGCCGTGTGTGTTTGAAAGGCAACAGACAAAGGATGTGTAGGAGCAGTTTATGTACTTATATGCAGACTACCACACTTTCTCCACACTGTTCCCCATTTACCAAAGTAATCATCTGCTCTGCGATGATTGATTTAGTAAACCCTGGTACAGGTAACAACACTTTTGTTCAAATGTATAGTTTGACATTTATTAAAATGTGTTTTTTCAGACACTTAGATAAGAAGCTGGCTTGCTCTTTCATAACATATTTCTCCTTAATTGGCCCAGAAACAGTCCAGCACGTAGTTCCACATAAAATGGGAAATACTACATTTTCCACCCTCATTTTTGTACATATAAAAAAATATTTTAAATACTTTTATTAGTAAAATATTTGTTTACCTTTGCACAAGGCCTAGATAGCTTTCCCCAAGCTACGCTAAATGATTTCTTGTGGTAGATTCATTTTTACTTTACAGATGTCCCAGTGGCATCTTGTATATCATCTAATTTGAACTGCTTTAGCCACAATTTGATCAGCTTTGTAGCACACACAAGTTTGAAACTCAAATACAATTTCCCATTGAGCCAATAAGTGCATGTTTTAAATGATTGAACAAAGAGCCAAATTGCTTTGTCAAAGTTCCAACAAAACTTCTGTTTTACTGTGAAAGAGCCAGTACTGTCACAGAAGGGACATTTCCATTTTTAGCAACCCACTCATCAATATGATTTTTGGAAATGTCACTGTCCTATCCTTCCAATCTTTTTGACGTCAGTAGCGCCTGTTATTTCACATTAACCGACAGATTACCTCGAGGACAAAAACACCTGAAGGTTTTGCTCTGACTCAGACACGAACACAACCTCCCAAAAATGGTATCGACGTGAATATCTACCCCCGCTGAGCCTGGTGCCCTCGGGTGCTGACTCAGACTCACGTGTTGATCTGTGTTAAGTACTTAGTGGACACAAAGCCCAGTGTTCAATGTCCAAGTGTAAATGTCAGTTTGTATACACAGTTTTGTCTTTACTAGCAGCAAGAAAAGCAAGGCAGGGTCTCAGGTATAAAGCCCTCTGAAAGCAATGTTACTCATAAATATCACTTGATGTTTCAATGGAAATGTGATTACTGCACTGCATTTACCATCAGGGAACAAGAATGACCACTAAGTGTCCTTGTTAATGACTTGCCGAAGTGTCTTTAGGGGCTGCCCAGTATCAGCTCTGACATTAAGACAGATGTACCACCCAGGGGAGGATAATCCTACCTTTTCACTTGCTGTGCGAATCATCGCTCTCGTGAAAGACACTGAATTAATTCAGTCAAGTCTCGATAGTTCTTTCTATTATTCAAATTGAATCCCTGCTTTGCTCTCATCCACCCCGATAAGAAGTCTTGATAATCAGCAGTTGGTCTTTCACGCCGTCTCCAATGAAGCATGGTTTCCTCCTCTCTCTCAGCAGCATAGTCTGTAATAGAGCAGGTTAACCCATGGCTCACAGGTTACATATGTCTAATAGCAGCTGCTAAAACACCTTTCTAGCATTTTGTAGAATGTTTCATTCATTTGGATTTTAATGCTCAGGTTAAAATATATGTTTAGTATATCTAATACATTTTACTGCCATTTTCATACATCGAATATATTTAGCACAGTGTCTACCCAAAGGTTTTTTTTAAACCCATGACAAAATAGCTGAAGGGTATTTATATCATCTGCACTGAGTTACATTTTTAGTCTCATAAATCCATCCCCTAATGGCTGATGATAAATTCTTATTAATCATGCGTGTGACTTTCGTGCCCTTACAGAGATAATTTACTTAGAGACATTTTGTTGGAGCTCAGGGACATTAAACTGTTGTCTTTAACGACAACATGAGAATAGCAAGAGCACAGATGGATTAACAATCAGTAAGAAGAGGCTAAATACAGGATACGAGCCAAATACATGGATGTGGTGTGATCAACATTTCCGTCTCTCGCAGTCTAACCTTGAAAGTGTTTTTGCAGGAATTTGCTTTGTTTTAGAAATTCATTGCTTTCTGGCTTGATTGAACATATTTCCATTGACATCATCGTGTGTTTATTTCTCACGCTTGAGCTGGAAGTATTATGACACTCCTATGCCTTCTCAATTTCTGATTCCAAAGACTGAGAATTGGTTTTACATTACGGTATTCATGTTAGCATGATCTAATTTCAGCCAGCTAAAATGCTGGGCAACATGTGACCTGACATTTTTTCTAGATTAAAAGCAATACATTAATTAAGGTTTGTATGATTCATCCTAAAGATGGGCATAGATTTCTGTACCTTAGTTCAAACCAAACCACTCAATAGTTGTCAAGGCTCAGGTGAATGCCACCATTATTGAAATTCAATCCCTGGGGACCATGGGTTTATGATTCAAAACAATTCACATAGCAGTTAATATATTGCAATCTGGAAAAATAGTATTACACTGATCAACCAACAATGCCTTCTCTACAGCCATGGATCAAAAAGCATCACAAGTGAAACTCAATGCTAGCCTCTTTTTTTCTTTCACAGAGTAAATTAAATTGCAGGTTTTTGCTTTGTCAATAACTTGTCTCTCCCTAATCTCCTGCAGCCATGCCCTTCATCATCTCCATGCTTCTGGCCAGCCTCAACAGCTGCTGTAACCCCTGGATCTACATGTGCTTCGCGGGGCATCTGTTCCAGGATCTCAAGCAGAACTTCCTGTGCTGTTCCACACGCTACCTCAAGTCCTCCCAGCGTGACTTTGACTGCAGTCACAAGAGCAACTCCTCCACCTTTGTCATTAAGAGCACCAGCAGCCAGAGGAGCATCACACAGACATCCTCCACATAAACCCGTCTTCCCTTCTCTCTCGAGCCTTCCTCTCAAACACCTGCGTCACATCTAGCAGTTCAACTCCTTCAGATACACCTCGCAAGTTCAAGCCCTGAAGGAAAAAACAAACAAAAAAGGTCTTCATTGTTTTATTAACAGTATTTCACAGTGTGAAGTGGAATTGTGAGATAGAAATGTGTACAGAAAAGGAGTAATGGTGTGGTATTTCATGTTCATAAAGACGTATAAGATAATCACAGACCAAGCTGAGCAATCACTTGACTTTTGTTTTTATATTATTCTTGTTTGAGATGTACAGTATATATGTGTACAGTGAAGAGGAAGTAAAGAGAATATTTTTTAAGCACTGTAAACATTTTTGATTCAGTTGCAAAGCTTGTGGATCCTGCTGTCTGTGTTATGATGAAATTAACTATCTATTCTAAATATTGTGAACTACTTTGTTATATTTAAAGTGGATTGCATACATCTATGCTTACTTACTGTACTTGATATGTTGTTAGATGAGAAATGTCATGTCTTTCCCTGGTAAAAAGAAAATAAAAATCGCTTGAAAAATAAATAAAGAGCGAAAGCAGCACAAAAACACACACAGCTTTATTATTTATACCTTGCTGATGCTCATTAGGAGCACCTACCACCTCTTGAAAGCCTTGGCAATGCTGCTGGAAATGTCCGGATGTTTGTTGACACAGAATCAATAACGTGACTGAGTTCCTGCACAGTTTTGGCAGCACATTGAAACTTCCTGTTTAGCCTCAGCTCAAAATGCATTATTGGGTTGAGATCAGGAGCACGTGCACACCAGGGGAGTGAACTAAAGTAACACCTTGTTTTGAACACATTTTGGGTCAACAATCAATGGTGCAATATCCCGCAGGAAGCGCCAATAAACGTAAACTGTGGCCATGAGCTCCCTATCGCATTCTCTGTTGAAAAGCTAATTAAGCATGAGGCTGTTTTTTGTCAGTTGTGTATATATATTCATGTAAAAGTTTCAAATGTAAGGGCCGTCCAGGTTGAGATCAATTTCCAGCACATTGATTATCCCTGTCAATAATTAGAAATGACCGGAATAAAAGCTAACTTTGTCAATAAAAACAATCCAACTCAATATCTCTGAAGTAAATCATGTTTATACAGGTTAGCTGCTGGGTATTTACACTGCATTACACCGTATCGTTGCTTTGATTTTATAATTGTATTGTCTACGTTTTAGAGCTTATCAATAAACTAAAATTGAAATTATAAAAAAAAAGCTAAGTAATATTTAGGGGGGGTTTATCCTAAGAATGTGACTTTCCCTAAGATAATGAAGCACAAGAGGAGAGTCTTGTTTGAGGAGAAATTATGCAAAGAATATTAATCATCCATCTAAATATTGTGTATAGTTACATATTTTAAACCATCAACCATGGTATTATAATGATCAGGTATAAATTACTGCATTATTATATTATATTAATTAGTAAACATGTTTTCATTTTAATGTAATAGTTTGTTAATAGTAATATAACTATTACCTGAATTGGTCATTTATTATCCATTTACCGATTATTTATGATTGTTATTATAAAACAGTTACTTATACTAAAGACCTAACAGAGTTAAAGAAAAGACCTTTGCTTTGAACTTCATTACCAAATATATTTCTTTTAATTTTCAAATCTCCCACAATGTGTGGAGGACCATTTTTATTAACAGTATGTTTGCAATTGCTCATGTTTAATTAATCATTTCCAAAATAGTCCAAAATATATAATTAAATTGTAATTGTGGACAATGTGTTTTTTTCTTGGCTGCATTTTTAGTCTGCATATTGACTTTCTATGTATTGGCCAATAAATCACTGTTGCTTCTTGTTGACACAATCCTTCATCAGACTAATGCTTTAACACGGTGTGGTGTCTCTGCACATATTATCTCTAGCAGTGCATTTCCAGATGCAGCAAAGGACCAGGATGTGTTGGCCAGAAGAACACGAACAAAGAAGGGCGTGGTGACACCAGAGAGACACTGTAAAAGAGACACAACAGCAGCCTCTAGTGGGTCACAGCTCCAAGGTCACTGTCAAAAAAATTCACTGAAACGCAGTTAAGATGGTTGGTGAATCTTAAAAATGTATTTCTCCAGCCTCTCACATTGACCTGAAATAACACACATAATATACTTTCAAGCAAACGGTGAACCAGTGATGCAATACACTTATTATAAGCACAGTTTCATCAATTGTGAAATGTACTTAGAAAAGTTCCAGCCCATGTATAATTAACGTTTCTCAACTAGAGGTGCACAATAGCAGCAAAGTTCTTATACTTTATACATAATTAATAAAACACTGTTGAAAAATGCAATTCCCTCCTTACTTTACTCCACCAGTAGTTCATTGCATACTTGTTAACAGACGTGACTGAAATGTGGAGTAGTCAAATATTCCACTAATCTCACGCTTCGGTAAAAGGAAGTAGTTTATCGGCATGGTTGGTTCAACATATTTCTTACATGTACAATTAAGCAAGTGGAGTCATCAAGAATGACAAAATATTTTTTTTTTTCAAATGCTTTCTTTCTGTTAGAGCTCTTTAAATAAGGTCATTATACCAAATCCAATTACATTAATATAGAGTTCAACTTTACCAGGCACATACAGCGTCAATACAATATTTAATAATGGCAAAATGTAATGCATACATGGAGCATTGTCCACAGGTTGAGCAATGTTGGGGGGTTTATATCATCTGTTGAAATGTCTTTGGCTTTTTGTGACACAAATACATGATTACAGACAGATCCTGGTCATGGCAGGCAGTCCTCTCCTCCCTCAGTGAGACGCACTGAGCCCTGCAGGAGTGCCAGAGCTGTCACAGAACCACGCTGCCTGCTGCAGCTGTCACTGGGCTTCATGGTGGCAATAGGCACACAGGGCATATCAGGACCCAGCTTGAGGATGGGTGGGTGGGGAACGGCATGTTATGAAGGAAGGAGGAGGACTATGAGGGACTGAGACGCCTGGACTGAACTTCTGGTGTATAAAAAGATACCGCACTTCATCCGATCATACTATAAACACTACAGTGTGAGTTTTTAGACTTCTTTGCGCACTGCAACGCGCACACTGCTGAAGACCTTGCCCAGTGCTTCAAAGAAGGGATCACAGAAGGTCTGGATGCAGAGGGAGTAGATGCGGCTGATGCACTGCGACTCGATCAGGCAGCTCTTGATGCAGGGAACCACGGCCCAGATGTGGCAGAAGGAGATGCAAGCGAACAGGAAGCCCCACAGAAGAGCAACAGGGATGCCAAAGACAGCAGACAGGATGCGGTAGCACCAGTACTTGGACACAGTAAAGGTGGTGTAGCTGAGTTTCCAAACCCCATCCAGGCTGTGTGTCCCGTCAGGCTCTGCAATGATATCCTCAAAGTCCACCTAAAAGGGACATTTAAAAAGGGGCTTTCATTACGACACATCCCTGAGTGCACACCACTTTTTCCTCTCCCTCAAACAGAGCTCTTTGGGCTCTGAATATCTGAAGTGCAAAGATAGACGTGTTAGGGTCAAATGTATGCAGAAAAAACAATTATGTGTCGAAAAATTCCCTAAATGTCATGGCAAAGTTATGGAGTGGCTTTTAACACTGATTACAATCATTTCTAAAAGCTCTCTTCCAACCTACTTCTTAGTAACTGAAGTTCACCTCATGTAAAATGCATGAGAGCAACTGTACAATCGTCTAATCTGTTTTCAGTATGTGTCACCTTCCCCTTTAGAAAAGCTTTCCAAGATTAGACTCATATATGAAATGCAAATCAACCTAATCATGACAGACAGACGAACAGTTCTAAAGCCTTTTGTTTTCTTTCAGAGCTCTGGAGTCTGGATACCATCGGTTGTGTGTTTCCTGTAGATAGCCTCCCGAGATCATCCTCTGAATAAAGTGCTAAACATCCACTGTTTTATATCTTCTCAGTCAGCTCTGGCCTCGTTCAGCTCTTAGAAGAATTGCTGGAGTTAAATTCAGCATAAGAACAGTCAGTGTCCTTTGGAAACTATAAATGGACACCCTAAGCTTGCAAACATCCAGAAAGGTTCCTGACTAATGAGGTTGAAGGTTTCAATTAGAATGACTTTATTTGAAAATGTACGCAGAAAATGACTGCTTGAATAAAACGTGTAAATGCTAAAGACCAGACTATTAGCAGTAAGTTAAAACACTTTCCAGTTTAAAACAGACATGCAAATCAGTTCAAACTAAGTAGTGCAGATACTGAACATATACTCTGCTAATAACGTGTAATGAACCATCTTCATTGACCATAAAGCCCTTGCAGTCATAACAAACAAGGACATTTTAGCTTTTTTTCTTAGTGATTTCTTTTTCTTGCGCTAACAGGGCAACGATCACAGGATAAACAGTAGTCAAAACGTAATAAATCACAGGCACAGGTATCAGTTTCACACACTTCTACCCCATTCCCAAAATAAACGTTGGGTTCTGCCCAGGCAACAGGAAAAGCTCTTGATCTATTTAGGGATTTTCCAGATAGTATAGTAATCTCTTCTCCTGTCTTTGTCTCTACTTCATTAATTTGATCTCCTCAGATAACAGCTTATGTTCCTAATCCTTTCTGTGACAGGGTGGTGTCTCCATGCTGCACAAACCTTCACCACGTCTTCATTGATCTGCTTGGGGTCTCTGTTGATCAGATCAATCTCCTTGGTGTTGCTGTCCTTCACGATCTTTTCCTCGTTGGTGTTGTACTGGTACTGATCCGCCATGGTGGGGCCGGAGACGGTGAGAGTAAACCTTCCTGGATCAAACTGCACAGAGCCTCGGTTCACGTCTGCACCCCTGTATCACCACTGTGAGTGACGCTCCCTCTGGCATGCCAGTTGACAGCTGCTGAGGACGCCCTGGCAAAAATGGAGGCTTGACCCCCACCCTACATACACACAGGCCCCCGCACACAGACAGTGGAAACACACACACGGTAATGCACACACATAGAAAAGGCATGCCTTAAAGGAGCACCCAAGCTTGTGTCACATTTCACATAGGGCTGTGGGGCTCACTGGGAAGGGTTTACACAGTGGCACGAACTTCCACCACGGAGTGAGGCAGTGAGCACAAACACACCCTGCTGCTCGGGCTTCACTTAGGACACAGTTTTACATCCTAATACTGAAGCTATTTTGAAAAGAAAAACGTTGTTACGTGTTTCAAACTACATTCCACAACAAAACAGAGATCAAAAGCGTACTGCTTAACACAAGTGTGAGGATAATAGTGCTAAATGTTGTACTATCATTTATCATTCAGAAGAAAAAATGTGATTCACATTCATTGGCACTTTGCTGAAGCTTTATGTATCAATTCAACACCTTCATCATGTGTGAAACTGTACGTCAGGTGGTGCGGTGGTTAGTAGATGCCACATTGTTGAAATTGTGCCAGTTTGAAAAACTCTACTGTACCTCCTCTGTCACTGTAACCGTAGAGTTGACACTTCATAGAGTAAAAATACTGCAACACCGAGTATGTAAATATCAGTTTCCTGATGGTTTTGTTTAGGATAAATGTGTGTAATGCATACCTTATATTTACAGAGGCAAACGTAATGATCATACATGTTCATATAAAAAAATGTTGCTTTTCATACATTTCATGGTCTATGCATTAGAGGGTTCTCAGAAGGTGTGTCCTGAGTCTCCTATGACGTACAATTCCGGGCTAAAAACGTAAAATCCAACAGTCCCTAAAATAAACTCTGATTCAGTCTTGCTTAAGCTGTGCAGTTGTTGCTATCACTCATACAGAATGTAGCTTCCTATATTAGCAGGTTGCATAAACAAACAAACTCATACAGCATGGTGCTGCCAAAAAGAGGGGGAAGAGGGGGAGGCTCTTTTGAAAACTGCTAAAAGGTCTCACAGCAAGGAGGGGTGGAATGGGATCTGAGTGCATGTGATCAAGAGCCAACCCAATTAGAGGAGTATTCTTGGTGAGGCAATGGAGAGAGTTGAGTCCAGTTAGGCATGGAGGTAGAGTGACAGAAATAGCTCAGCAGAGAGTCGTGGTGGGCATACCTCTGACTCTATGGGTGTCAATGCAATCAGCTGAGACTGCACTGGCTCCTGTCTTTCATTTAATGTAGACAGACAGACCTACATTTAGAGTCCTATAGAATGTAATGGTGAGAGTGGGTATCAGTTACTCGGGTTAGTTTAATGAACAGTGCTGAATGTGTTACTTGACGCATACAACATGTGTTTTAATATCAACTACACTTTCAAACATAGTATTTGTTATAAGCCTTGATTCCAGAGATCTGTTATATGTCACATGACCTTTACAACATCTGCAAATTTAAAAACTGTCTTAAAAAGGCAAGTTGTAATTTTACGGGATGTTATGTGTGTGTGATTATGTTTTGTGTGTTGAATGTTAGGAGTGTCCTATTGGAGCCTCCGGTTGTTGCCTAGCAACCTCTATGACAACAAAATTCAACAGACCGTGCCCCGGTCCAAGAAATACCTTTAGATCCCCCGTCGTAAAGATTCTCACTTTTGCATGATCATGAGTGGCCAATATGTTTTCCGTTCATCACTCCTTCATAAATCAATACATTTTCCATCAATCATTGTCATTACTACTTGATTTATTTAATTGTGCCCCATGAAGCTCTTTGTAAAAGTATTTGTAAGTCCTAATTAGTTAGTGACACTAGCTGCATGCTGTATTTTGCATTTATATTATATAAATATAATAATATGCCAGAGAACTAATACCAAATAATGTGAGAAAGTCCTCTTTGATATTGGACAATGAGTATTTCAACTGAACTTGAAATGTCAACTTTATCGCAATACAGATCAAAATAGTAAACAGAATCAAGAAAAGAAACACAATTTAATGGAATTCATATGATTGGTGTGATGTTCAACATATTTATGATCCCACATCATCAAATAATTCTTAAAAATAAAGAAAACCTCATCCTGAGACTCTCAGCTTTATCATTTTGTTATATGGGATTTGTTTGCTGTTTATTTCTGAAATTGAGTATTACAAAGTGTTAGTACCAATCACCCAACATAACCTATTGACACATGGTTGATCATATTAGCTTAGAGGCACCCCTATGCATCACACAATCACATTATTCAAAAAAGGTACACATTAAAACTGGATCAGCATGGCAAATACCATGCCAGGTGAGCTATAAGCAAATACCATGCCAGGTGAGCTATAAGCAAATACCATGCCAGGTGAGCCATAAGCAAATACCATGCCAGGTGAGCCATAAGCAAATACCATGCCAGGTGAGCTATAAGCAAATACCATGCCAGGTGAGCTATAAGCAAATACCATGCCAGGTGAGCTATAAGCAAATACCATGCCAGGTGAGCTATAAGCAAATACCATGCCAGGTGAGCCATAAGCAAATACCATGCCAGGTGAGCCATGATACTAAATAATCATTGACTAATAATCATGATGTAGCTTTATCATTGGCACATTTTTCTATCTGTCTTCATCTGTTGCCAGATGGATGGTGATTTGACCACAGCACTTTCCCATACTAGTGAATAATGGGCTGATGAGAATGTTGAGTACGCTGCCCCACACAGTCTGAACCCAGTGCATGTTGATGAGAAGCAGCTGCACACAGGGCATGATCAACCTGGAGAGAAACAGGGACATGAACACAACGTTAGTTCATCTCTTTGATAAAAAAAGAATACATCTTATAAACTGTAACCAAAACATATAGCAGGGAAAAGCGTGTGTCACTGAATCTTTCCAACTACATTCTGAATGATTCCTTTTTTTTTACCAGAAAAACGTTTATCAGTTATTCCATGCCTGTAAGTCTTCACATCTCAGTGTGACAACAGTCCTACCAGATGTGAAGGAAGCTTAGCACAGCGAAGAGGATCCCTGCTGCCAGAGAGACCGGCACCGCCAGGAGGAGAGAGATGAGCCGGTACATCCACAGTCTGGACACCTCAAACAGGGCGTGACTCCACAACCACACTTTATCAAAGCTCCGCACCGAGGGAGGCTCGGCGATCACATCTTCAAACGTGACCTGAAGACACACACAGAGACACTGAGAGTGACTTCTGGGGACACATTTTTCTCAAGCATTTTAAAGTCAATACTGAGGTGTGGAGGTTGGATGATAACATGTTGACAGGCTGAGGATAATGTGTAATGCATGCACATGTATTGCACTGAACCGATTTAAATGCTTATTTAGCTTTACAGAGTAGTATTGTATCACCATGGGCAAACATAGACCTGTGTGTATGATCCTGTCCACCTGTGGTCAGTATAATGCAGCCTATTGATATTTACCACAGAGGAAATGGGTGGTCTTATATTATCTGATAACAAAATGAAAGGTCATTGTCCTAGACGGACACATTTATTTATTAAAAAGCTCCACTTTCTAATTTGCATGTATTGTCATAATCATTGTTCACCACCAGGTTTAACTCTTTGCATCACATGGGTCAATAGAGACAGCAGGAGGTGAATGCAGAGCACGTGGGTTTGTTTATTTGACTGTCTAGTTCTCTGTTTCTCCACACAGAAATTACATATTTGTGCCGGAGGTTCTGTGTCAAGTTTTATGTATGTTTAAAATTCCCGTAACGCTACAGAATATTTACCTTCAGAATCGTGTTAACTCCTTTGGGATCCCTGCCCTGAATCTGCGGCCTTGTGTCACTGTGGGTGGAGTTCAGATCTTCAGACTGTACATCCACTTTGACTTCCATCAGTTCCTCAGCTGGTCTCTCGTCTTTTAATCTCTGGTCCTCCATTTCTACTAAGTTCAGCTGTGTTCCCGCTCTGTTGAAGGCTGTGGTCATGTCATTAGAAATATGGAGGACGAGCGGGGCGCAGCAGGAGGATGGCTTTCCACTGTAACTCTGCGGGCATGTCACTGACACCCAGGTGGAACATAGTGGACTGATGACTGCCTTGCTCCTTATTGAGGAATGCCTTTATTGGCTTTTAAAGTCTTTGGTGTCATTTTCCATGTGACACACTCCATGGAAAGTCTCATTTAGAACGTCATGAGAAATGGCCAATGGCCGTTGCTAATTGGCCTTCACTTTCTCAATAAATATTGAAGAGGGTGAACATAAACTGGGGAAGTACGTTGGCATGACATAACATAACAGGTTTTCATGGTTATAAAGTACCCTCAGAGTTCTCTGCGTTTCAACGTTTTCTCTTATTCATGTAATTAAAATAAATGTATTGAAGAAAAAGAAAGACAACAAAAAGATAAAAAATAATCTGATGATGATCTTAAACTGCATTAATTTTTCCTTGGTATTTGGTGCATAACAATAAATACATAACAAACGAAAATGAATAAGGGAGGCTAATGACAAAGTCTAAAACCATAAATAAATATATAAATAAAAGGCTTTACAAATGAGAAATATATATTAAACTGCTCAATTAGGATGTTTTTTAAATGAAAAGAGCTGCTGTTTGAAACAAAGAGGACGCCTTGTGCAAAATATGGAGATAAGTGAACAGAAATATAAAGCATGAACATGTGGATTGTAACAATATAATAATCCTAAATTGGCAAGTATCTCACTCAAATATCTTAGACACCTAACAGAAAACATGTATCTCACTGTTTGTTGAAAGTTCCTCAGAGACATCTTGTCAGAAATGAACAAAGCGCTGGGAGGAGAATCACTGGTAAATAGTGCACTCTGTTGGCCATGTTCGGTCTCGCTCTGTATTTGAAAAAAACAAATCAATCAAACAAAGCCTCTTTGTTTATCACTGATGGTTAAACCAGCCTAATGTTTCCCTCACACATAATAGCTTGTTCTCTCTCAGTGCCTCCAAGAATCTCAAAGTGCTGCAGGTAGTGGAGTGGAGACGGGGTCTGATAGCTGATGATTGATGCTGTGTGTCTGGAAACCATGGCGATGAAGAGCTCCTGATATTGTGTTGTGATTGCGTCTTAAGATCCTCCACATAACGTGCTAGCTAGGGTTAACTTTGAAACATGTCCTGATTTTTTAAATAACAATTTTCATCAATATGGTGTCATGAGTTGAACCACAGCGAAATATCACAATCTCGGCAACTCGATAATAGCGACATACAATAAAAACATCAATTGTGCTTTTGTAGGCTTGTTGAACCAGCAAGCAGTGTTGTTTGAGTGTTTGTGAAACAAAAAGAAATGTAATATGGTCATAGATAACCTACCACTCTCCTAAATACTACTAAGCTGATAGTATTTACGGTAGTGCTATATTTTTCACAATGATGTATGCCATTTTCTTTGAAAATTAGTATTAGTATTTGGTGCAAATACAGTGAAACATATAACTCCAGATGAGCCTATTGAAGATGCACTTAAAAAAATGGAAATCACATTTTTTAATGTGGTTGTGGATACAGCCATAGATATATATAAAAACTAGATGGCTCATGGGAGATTTTCCAGCGTAGCTGACCGGCCGCCACCTGTACAACTTTAAGCGCGTTGTATTAATGTTAACATAACATCATACAAACTAAACTACAAACATAATATATTATCATTCTTCGACCATATTGTTCTTTGTTGCAGACCCACTTCACCCTAGATCGGCATCCCTTCACTCCTTTACGTATCGTCTGCTAACTGGGTAGTTCGAACTCGTCTGTCTCTACCCACCGCTCTCCGATGTTCCACGAGAATCAGAATAAGATTGTATAATTTTAGAACTATACAACTCCTCATGTGTACTAACAGCTAGTCGGTTGTGTACCGTGTAAACCCCGAACAATTTTTGTAGAACGTAATACTATGTCCTTAAACGACCGAAACACAACATGTCTTCCATGGACTGATACGGCACTGAAAACCGTGTTATTTTATGTCATAGGTTGTGTTTTGGTTATTTGTGTGCCACCTGTGTACCGTGTGTTGTTAGTTAGTAGCAGGTCGGAGTCGAAACCCATAAAAAAGTGTTGTACAATACGCCATATCTGACTCGTTTTGTATTTTGTATACCCCTTGTATCACGACGCAGAGTACCACCAACCGTCTCGTCGCCGCTAACCTGTAGGCATCAGACGTAGTTTTCAGGCGTTATCAGTCAATGAAGACATTTGTGTTTCGGTCGTTTAGGACCATAGTATTACGTTTCTACAAATTGTTCGGTTTGGTGACCTTCTTTTAGTACAACATTTGAATTCAATACAACTTTCTTTTCTCGTCAAGACGGAGGAGGGTGACACATTTCCAACTACCAGTTGAACATTATGATCCAGAGGTGAGTGTTCGGAGACATAATCGGTCGCTATTATTTTATCGTTGGTGTATGTGTTTCTTTTCGACGTTAAAGTTGTACAGGTTCGTAGGACTAGTATCGGTACGATATTAACAAATATCACTGTTATGGCAATATTAGTCAGTTCTAAAAAGTCGCTCATTTCTCATAAAAACACGTCTAGTGAGTGGAATGTTGTCGATGGTACTTGCGCTTAGTCTCATTGACAACTGT